TTTTTACAAGCAGTATTTTAGCACAAGTCGTTCGATGAATTAAATGTAAGAACAGTTTTGTGAAACAATTTTCAAATTGCTTCTGATAGAGTTTCACTTAATTGCATTTTCGTATGGGGAATAATATTGTTTCATCGGATACTTTGCTCCGCTCGCTAACTGCACATCAAGGAAAACGATGATGCAGAATGAAGCGTAGCATGGGAGGAAGGATAGTAAATTTCATGAGTGCATATAATTTACTGCGTAACGCGAGAACTCGTGCATCGTGTTTTTCGAGAAACGTTGCGATTGCTAATAAGCAAAGTTGGCACTCGCAATTCTTCCTACAAAATATTAACTGTACAAAGCGCGTACCACCTTTTTCTAATTGCATCTGGGAGTTTTACTTTTGCTACTCATTTTCCGCACGAAGGAAAAGCGTTAATAAAGAACATTGTGTGAGTGCAAGTTATAGAAACCAGTCTTCACCAGCATAAGCGGATTGATGCAAGTAAGTGTTAAATTAATTAACACGTATAATATTTATACTTTTGATTAAGGAATTACAACCTTGATGCTTTAGAATACGTACTTCATTCTTTTGCTCCAATACTTTCATATAATTTAATATTAGTATAAATAATTTAAATCTCACTGTAATCTTTTATACGCTTTAATGAAACTATTGATACAAGTAACAGAGTCAAGCAACAAGAAAATTATTTGCTGGTTTGGCCGCGATCTCGTTCTGAGTCGGCAAGGAAATCAGTAAATTGATTGCAGCTAGGCAAATGTTGCCCGGTACTATCTTCAGCCGAATGGATTCGGAAGTTTCGGTGGTAGCGGAGCTAGTCCGCAAATATTGCCACTTCCTTGCCAGTCCCGGTGCTTATCCAGGTAGCCGGACTACCGTTTGCACACCATTATTGCTGCGCTGAACATCTTTATGATGCCTTTCTGGTTTAAACTTACAATCCAGTTAACTCTTCCAGTTATAAATATACTATATGAATTTAATGGATTTATAAACAAAATATAAAAATTAAATGAGAGGACACTGAACTGCATATTATTGCGTTTAAAGAAAATTGCAATTTTAAATGTTTTACTTTTGCATAGAAATCCACGGTCTAATTATATCGACGTTAATTGGCGAACAACTTTTGGATTCCGGTTTCTTTTGATTTCTTTTAATTTGCTATTGCTAACTAGAATGAATTCTTGATCTTTCAAACGGTACACTTGCATCCAGTATTTATTAATTAAGATTTCCAATACATTCAAACGAGCTATTGACTAGAACTGGCTTTTTAAAGTTAATGAACGATTGAAACCACGAACAGCTTCTTCGATTATAAAGAAGAGTGGCTTTCGGATCCGAGGATAGGAAGAAAAAATAATTCCGACGGCCACTCGAGCGTAACCGATTTCTCGTATTATCCATTTCCTGAAATTGTTTCGATGGCATCTCTCCCCGGGACAGTATCCCCTCCACGTAATTGTTTCCTTTGTCATTTTAATTTCCTCGCTCTCCTTCGCCTTTATCGGCCGATATTCCGGAACGTTTCGATTTTCTTATAACGAGTTTCTTTTATCAAAGGACAAGCAAAATGGATTGCTCGATCGGTTTTCCCGTACAATTACGCAGCATTTAATATCGCGGCTGTCTCATCTTGGGAAGGAAAGGAAGAGGGACGAGAAACAAGACTGCCGATGCTTGATATATTCTAAATAGCGTTGAAACTTTGTGAAATAAAGGAACCAATAATGTAATAACAGTACAAGAAGAGTAACGAAAAATCATTTTCTGACTTCTTGAATTTAACCTTATGAGGCTAGAGTTACTGTTCTAATATTCAGTTATTTAAAAAAATTATACTCATTATTGAGCTTGTTGAGAAACTAATCTTAAAAACGGAGAATTTTATGCACGAATTGTTTTTTAATGGAGTAACTTTATAATTAAGTTACTTTAACATCGCTCGTAGATTGAGAAAACCTTATTGCTTCTAATCTTCAACATGTCAATTTGATATATTATCATTTATGCATAAACTTGTTAATTTCTGTGCTCATTAAGCTAATTAACGAACTATTAGTTAGAAATGTATCGAATTTGAATTTGTCAGAGCCGTGAAAATTGTTATAAAATTTCTGAACAATGTCACCGAGTTTACTTTACAAACCGCTTAGGGCTAAACGAATTAACGAAGACGTTGCTCGATCTTGTCCTCGGTTCTGCGTCACGTTTACTAACCAGCGTATCCTATCAGATGTTATACATAGAGTACAGAACATTGAGAATTCTGTGGTGCATCGCATTCAATCTGGAGAGAGCATGAATCGTTAAGAGCTCCTTTGAGTTCTGTTTATGTATCCCCACGAAATCACAGCTAAAGGATAGAAGGCACAATGTGTCGACCCATTGAACGTTTCGAGGGGCATCTAAGATTCATGAAACGGCTTAAATGCGCCGCAAACTGCGCCACGAGATACGTTGCGAGTCGTTTATTCGCTAGTGTTTTCTTTAATTGTCAACAAATTCCACCTGCGTTTTAATATTATAAATTTATTTGGGGAACGAGCGGTACAAAATTCAGCCCAATTTACAGAAAATTAAGTGACGATCTCGAAATTGAGAATTACCTACATAGCTTGACCTAATCGTTCGTGAAGTAACTCATGAATTATGTCGTTTTAACACTTTTCATTTTTCAAAGAACCAAATGAGGAGGATATTATTTCATTTTAATTAGAGCTTAATCACAAACACCGTGTTTTCTTAATCATTTGAAGACGAATATTGATATTTCTGAATGAGAAGATTGCATAAATCAGGGATATCTCGCTTGAACATAAGATCAGTTAGGTAGTAAAGTCTGACAGGCGCCTGGCATTCAACTCGGAAACTTTGGAATGAAAACAGTTCTTGAAGACTTTGCCACTCCCGATGGAAATTAAGCATTCTCTCCGTCGCAACGTTTCTATCTCCGCGGGCTTTCATAATGGCGAACACGTACGCCAATAAATTAAACCTTTTTTCAAACGGAACGATATATTTCCCACGTTTACTTTTCTGTGGAATCTGTTTCACTTTTTCAGCTCCACAATCAAGTATTTATCAGTTCTTAACCGCAACAAATGAATCTCTACATGAGATGCACTTTGCTATTGATACTTTGTTTACTTTTATTTATTATTGTATAGTGCATATTTTTGTTTTTTGACATATCTAAATTTTCTATAAACGGATAAAGACCACAATCTACTAACTAGTATTAACTGATCAAACATTTACCAGTTCATATCCTCAAATATTAAAACTATAGATTCAAAACATGAATATATTTTGAAATAATATATGAAAACAGTTAATAAGGTATTTAACCAGTTAACTGTGTCGATTATTTTGCAAAGTGCGCCCCAGTGTGTATCGCGATAATCAAGCGATGACGGATATAGTCGTCAAACACAGAATAAGTGGCGCTGTTGAAATATTGGGTCAAAAAGACGACCTTATTTTAGAAAATGAATGAATTTATTCACGGATATAGCCGTCATAACACGAAATTCTGCCATTCTTCCATGACGGATATAGTCGTCAAACACACTTAACTGGTTAATGCATTGAACAGGCAATCGTCTTGAATCGCTTAACGCGTGATTAAGAGCATTTAAATAATATTAATCGATCAAGCGTTCATTAGCTCATAAACATGAAAATGAAGCTCCGTAGACTCCGTAGATCATATATTGACAAGTTTTCATTGAAAAAATACATAAACACGCTTGACACTATTTAACGCATCGGGCAGGCAATTAGCAGCACGTTACTTCAAAATATGAAGTTTTACGGATCACGTATGAACGTATTTCTTAAGGAAATACACTTGATACGGTATTGAATGTGTCGGACAGACAATCGTTTAACGCGTGATTAAGATAGCAGCATTTAATTAATATTAATGCGTATGAAGGTTCGCGATTGCCCCGTTACGAAAGGCTTTCTCCCTTGCGACTGACACTTAAACAGCGCTTTGTTCGATGATAATGAAAGTGGAGTGGCGAAGACAGCGAGAAGAGAAAAGCCGGTGAAGTGAGAGTACACGAGGCGCAAGAGAACAGTGAGCGCGGAGAGAGAGAAACAGGAATCTCTTCAATGCTTTCGCCGTTTGTTATCCGCTTCAGCCGAATACTGTACACGGGAAATTGCTCGCACAAAGAAGATTTTAATTTTGACCGCGAAAGCGAGTCACGCCGCGTTCGTGGGAAATACTCGAATTGGGTACGGGTCAGGAAAACAATGATATTAAAAGCTTGGAAGTAATACCGGCATTGGGAGCATTATAATGGATCGCGAGCCTTAAAAGCCTGGACCCGCGTCTTCGAGCTTTAGGCCAGATTGCGCGCCACTACCCCTCACCCACCGCGTAAACTAATGGAAATCCCTAAAATTGTTTCTTACTCGCCGAGATTAAACGATTCAACCAGGATTTCAACACCAAATTTGTCAATAACTTTGTGACGTCCTCTACAAATTTTTAAACAAAATCCAGAATTTTGAAAATGGATTATATTAAACCCTTAACTGACATAATAAAATACCCACCTTTTCTAAGATAATAAGAAAGGTACAATTCACAGAGAGTTAGATTGTTGTTGTTGATTAAAAAGGTTTGTTACTATTGTAACTAAGCTGTCATAGTATCATCAGTATAGATGTTTTTCGCATTTTGAAAATCCCTCCTTCGCCATATTGCGATTATGACGCGACGGATTGGAACAATTCGTCCTACCGTTTTTCTAAGCGAAGGAAGCAAGGCGCCCTGCGCAATTAGATCAGTACGCTCGTAGTCACCGTGTAAATAGGAAGCAGCTAGAGCGAGAACGCGTTACTCATCGATTTTTCAGAACACGATTTATTAGAGTTATTCTGCGATCATCTACCACGCTGTGCTATTCAATAACCAAATAAACTTTTACTTTCGCGTTAGAAATTGTTATTTACTTTATTATTATTAATCTGCGAACAAAAGTTATACATTAAATACAGAATACAGAATGAGGTTTAATGCGTCTTAAACGATTCAACCAGGAAATCAACGTTTTTGTCATTAATTTTGTAACGTCTTTTACAAATTCTTTCAAAGATCCAAGATTTTGAATATGGATCACATTTTAGACATATCTCTTTTAAGATGATAAGAAAGACTCAAATTGCGGAGGATTAAATTGTTTTCGTCAGTTCAAAAGGTTTACCACATAATAATGATAATTTCGAATTAAGTTTGATATCTTGGTACATCGGGATGCCATCAAAATTCTCTTATTCTTCTCAAGAAAACGATAATTTTATGTCATGTGCATAATTCTGACACAATGTAATTCCATTGTCTATATTTTTGCCTTTAATACAGTCACGTAACCGGAGAACGCACTGGCTGTTGCTAATGAAGGTTAATGAAAACGCTAATGAGGATACGGGCATTATTTTTCATTAGCCTGACGGTCCAGTATGGTCACATTACATTTCTTTATCATCTTAGCGATCAGTTTTACATATACATGCATTTCCTATCAGTTTCTGATTTCAATATAACAGCCTATGCCTGATGCAATGAAAGTGAAAATCAAAACAGTTTTTTTCTGTATACTACATGTCTTCTTTCAATGTTCATTATAATTATACAACATTATCTATCTAGACATATGTACAATAAATGCCTCATACTCGTATTATTATAATTTCATTTTATTGCCTCGTAAAAAGGAATGCAATGATTTACACTGATTACTCTTTTTATTATTTATAATTACAATGAGTAGAAACAAGCTTTTGACACATACAGGGATACTGAGTTAAGCTCCGAACGATTATCTATCGCACTGATTAAGGAGACATAGCAGGAACGATTAGTGTGCCTCGCGTGTGTCGGTATCAGTATCGCGAGGGACAGAAAACAGAGAGTTTAAACCAGTTCCGTGATCCAAAGTCCGGACGAAGTAATCTCGCCCAATCAAACCCTTGTTCGAATCCGCGGCTTAAACTCGAAATCGGTATCAACCAGTGTTCAATGGGCACCAGGCCAGAATTTAAGCTCGGGATTAAATATCGCGCAATGGCCGTGAAACTGGGCCAGCTTCAGATTAGAATTAACTAATTGTTGCGTAGAGATTGTTGTAATTAGATCCTCGTTTAATTAAAATCGTTCGAGATGATACGATGCTTTCGTCGAGCCGTGTATTACCGTCACAACCTACTTAAGTGATAATCACACGATAAGGAATTCCTATAGTATGTGTAAATAAGTTAGATATGTGACTACAGTATTTACACAATATAAATCATACACCGATATGACTTTACAAACTATACATAATCCATGTATGAATTGAATTCTTATGAACAATAAAGAAATCGTATAATAGTGAGAGCTGTAAGATGGATAGTAGCAGATTTTGGCAAACACGCGAAATATGAAAAGAGACTCACCAATCACGTTGAGGTGCACGATGTGGCTCATGTGCTGAGGCGTGGACACCTGGCACTCGTAGAAACCGCTGTCCCGAATCTGCGGGTACTTGATTTCGAGCGTCCAATCGTCCGTCTGAGCGTTATGAATCGGCCTGAATCGTTGATCGTTCGTGTACGTGTAACGGCCGAGGGTCAGCAGATGCACGTCCCTGTGCCGGACCCAGGAAACCTGCAACGTCATCTGTAAAGTAGAAAAACGTGCTTTCAGTCGATCGAATAACCTTTCACAGTTATTCCATCGTTTGATCGCAAGCAACAGTGGTTCGCAAATAATAATATGCAAACATTTATTATTAGCGAATTCACTGCGACTTTAGTCTTTTTTCAGCACGATTTACACCATCTACCATGATATATATATATACATTTAACAGAAGTGAATATAAGCAAAAATAAATGTACAAAATAATATAAAATATCCATGGTGGAAATACATAAGATACATTCTTTTGGTGATGTAATTTTCGTCACCTACTGCACATTCCATACGGCGGCCATATTAAGTAAGGAATCACTACTTATTGTTCGCAAAAATAAAAACTAATGATACCGACAAAAATGCTAGGCTACGCTATCAAAAGTAGTAAAAATCGGAATGGTAATATTAAAAAATTGAATATTTCCTATCATCAGTTTCTAAAGCTATCAGTGATGCAAAAAAATTATATAATTTCATTAATAATGACCAAATTTACTTCGCTCGCGGATCAAATTATATCTTGAACTCACTAGTTTAATTCATTCTATTTAACAGTTTTAACTATATCGATCTTTAAGTGATGAAAATCGACTTCGAATCAACTCTTGGACAGTTAAAAAAATTGTATCCCAGTGAAAAATGATGTTTAACTTCGATCGTTCATAATTTCGTTAATAATGAACAGATTTACTTCGTTTATGACTCAAATTAAAGCTTGTGGTCGGGGAAACGTCAATTTAAAAACTGGTAATTCTTAAGAGTGTTATAAAATTTTTAAATAAATTTACAAAATGTAATTTAGAGTTTTTTTTTAAGTTAAAAATTAATTTTCATTTTCAATACTCTTTTACTTCCATTCTTCTAACGCAAAATACAATCAATGAGTAAAAAAATATGGTGTGACTGTTCCAATCAACTACGTAACAACTACGTAACGGCACATCTTATTTATTTCCACCATATAAAATATCCAAGCAAGCAGTATTTGAATAATAAAATGATTGAAACTAGAATAAAATAAATGAATATTTCTTTTTGTAAGGCAAGACTGCTGAAAATCGTATAATCTGTGAAGCTCGTGGAGGTAGACTACAAAGCCTTGTTAAAGGTTTCCCATTAAACGATGCCATGTAATTAGAATAGCATATAATATGGTTCGTTCACGTGTCGTGTGGGTAATTATCCAAACGACATTTAGTTAGCTATTCGCACGCCCGTTTGACCGAGGTTTCAAATTTCGTGCTATTCTACTGTCTCTTATTACTAGCCTCAAAGGCGTCGTATTGTCTTTTTCAACAATCGTTCTTTTAAACTGGAAATCTAGCAGGGTTGTGGAAAGTTAAAACACACCGTTCGTAAAATGTACATCTTATATTTGCCCTGCAGATTTTTATGCAAAATAAAATATTTACTTATGATATACTTGAAAAAATGCATATCGTATAGCAATTTTTTCCTTTACCGTTTGAGCATACGCCCAGCTTTTGATATTTTGTATATTTTTATACATAAAATGGAATCTTTGTGTAATGTGCACATTACATTTTTTCTGTAAATACATCAAATCTGTAGTTAATTTAGAATCTTTTTGGAAATGGAATAAGACACTGTATGAGCAGGAAAGTTAATATAACTACAATTTATGTTAACACCCGGGGGAAGGGAGGGTGGCTCGAATTTCAAGTACAACGCGACCGCGCTTTGGCAGCTGCCGCTTGTAATACGCCATTAAAAATTAATTGAAACGCGTTCCATAATGCAGCAGATTTGAATTTTCATTCGCGCAAGGGCCACGTACTTGGGTTGCAAATTTCAAGGGTAGCCGTATACAGACGTTACCTCGCGCGTTCCCGACGTAGTGGAAAATTAATAGAGCCGCTTTGCATATCGTCGAGAAGTTAGCGCGCGAGATAAAACGCTTCGGGATACGATAATTGGACATCCCGAGTCAGCCGCATGTAAATATTTGCTCTCTTTGTAACGGTTTGACACGCATATCCTGTAGAAAATTCCGCGCGCCCTAGAAACGCCTGAGAACGCGAGAGGAAATTACAACCGAGGTATAGTCCTCTGCATTCTTCTCCTTTTTCTTTTTACGAGGAAAAAATATTTTTAAGGGTTGTACAGCTAAAAAACGATCTTGCATACCCAACATTTCGATATTACTATTACAGATCAGAATAGTTTTAGATTGCATAAAAATCAACAGTCTAGACAACACAGATATTACGTGACCTATATTTGCAATAGGGATAAAAATATCTGGTATGTTAATGTATTAAAATATCACAAATTTCGTTCTATTTACTTCCGATCGTCCGTTCCAATTATGTGACTGAAAAAAAAACTTGAAGTTTCTTTGAGATTGGCACGATGTTCAATCTACGATTGGAATCGTTAACGAACTCGCAGGCTCGTTTCCACGAAGTCTGCCGACGTGACAGCGATCATTCCCCCGGATTCACCAGCGCCGCGATCTTATCGCGTTTTCTTCGAAATTTTGAGAGAACGCGATTCGTTGCCGAAAAATTCGGGCCGCATCGTTCTCGGAAAGACATTCGTACGATATCTACGGAGATAAGTTCAGCGACGGATGGTCAACAGATAGTCGACTAGATAAGAGTCCCCTTCGAGCGAACCGTCAGACAAAAGTTAAGATGACACAATGCCAAATCTGTGATTATCTCCTATATTCTCTAAGGGTTCGCAGGACCATCGCCTTTTAAGGTCCATAATCCTTTATTCGTTGGAAGAAAATGACGTGGATGAGTTTCGGTTGATAATTCCAGAAATAGTTTTGGGATCAAGTACATGTGCATGTTCAATATACTTTATTATTGAAGAATAAGATTTTGTAAGGCTTTTAATAGATGCGGTAACAAATTAAATGAATTTTTGTTATATCTTTTAAAATTCAGGCGGAGACTATAAAATTTCGTTACTCTTGTCGAGGATCCTTTCGTTCAAGTATTTCAAGGAAATCTTTTAAGCCAACCCAGCCAACGTAAGTACTCCTTTAAAGAAGGCGTTTCATGAGAAATATGGTTTAAAACATATACGATGTTGTACATGCATAGAAACGTCATTGGATTATGTTACATTACACAAGTTAATATAATGTATAAGTTACAATATAAATTGATTCAGAGTTCAGAATTCTACGAATTATGTGTACCTAAATGCACGCATTCGCATACAACGCAGTATTATATTATTATTAAGCAGGAGTAAACCTGTATTTTGTATTGCTTTTGTCAATTCAGTAAAACAGAAAAAAGATGTGATAAATTTACCTACTAAATTTTTTAAAAGTCACGTGACTAGCTCCTCAACTGTATCTCGAGGAGAACAAAGTCAGACAATTCACTTCTTTTATTTCGCACTATTTATTCCCCGGTTCCTTGTCGTGTCTCTATTCACGTCGTACCGCTGCTTTTGTTTCGCCTCTTGCAAGCATTCCCGCCTGTTTTCACAGTTACTTCATCGCTACGCTTCATTTCTCTCACTTTCCATTCTGATCTTCCTCCTTCGAAGAGAGAAGGGTTTCTCGCTCCCTTTTGTTTCAATAATTTCTTGCTCCTCGTGCACTTGCGGTTTCCATTCCTTGAGATCAGCAAATCTTAGTAACGGCTTACTTCGATTAGATCATTTTTTTCCATGTATTCAACACTTTCTTAAATTATACGCAACATTCTAATGATCTTTGTACATTGTTGGATAAAATATGCCTTCTGTGTGTTTTATATATTTTATTAAATTATACACATATTATAAATATTTAATGTGTCGATGATTAGTATATTTGACTCAATTTTACAAAATTTCTAGAAATTCATAAATATATCGCACATAGATTTTTTAAACTGACACAAGTCAAAAACCTGTACTTTGAGTTATCACCATTCAAGAATTAGATAAACAGCCTTTTACTAAACACCAATAGTGTACAAAATTAGCTTCAAATTCCACCCACTATAAAGCACTACTATCATCTCTTCTTGTCTTGAAGCTACCTCCACTGGTTCGGCAAGAGTGATACATTAGCAGTTGAGTATCGAATCTTGTGGTATATAAGTGTTATAAACGTGTTTGAAAACTGTTATTCGTTAAACTGCTTATGTAATTATTTTTTGTTAAGCTTACTAGTAGATTTCCCGATTTTTCCAACACATTAATTTTCGACTTGTGTCACTTTAGAAATACGTATGCGATATAAGTACACATAGTATAAATGAGCATAATAGTTACATATAGTATAAATGAAGTACAAAACAAATTAGGTTATCATGATTTTCTTACAGATTCATCTTACAAATTGTACTCATTCTATTAGTATGTTTTTCTACTCGCTACATAATGAATTTCCGTTTACATACATATGTGTTCCTTTATGCATTCCAGCGCAGGCACATAACTCACCGTAAATGTACGTTTGCGTACGTAATTTATAGCACATAGTTTGCTAGTCATAAGCTAGTATAGTCGACCCACTGTGGGGTTCTAGTGCCCCTTATACGTTGCCAGTATCACTCTAACAATAAGTTCTCCACAGTTGCTTTATATACCAATATGCATGTATACCCTTTGTGCTGACAATACTGTATGCAAACGATTCACGCATGAGAGCTCTTTCCAAAACTAGATTAATCCTCAGAAACTTTCTATTTATCTTCACTTCATGTCTTTCGTGGGACTTACAAATCCTATGAGTCCCATGTGTAATCTCAATCTAGAACCACTTTATGCACGAGTTAGTTATGAATGAGTATGAGATTAAGTTAGGTTCTTTATTGTGTGTGTGTGGGTATGCAGGCTCGCGTGCGTGCGTGTGGTTATATATTATGTATTTTATAAACAATGTGATGAAGATTCCTTCGATACACTGGCGATCGTTCTTACAACAGATGTACTTTTAATTTTGGAATTCTTTTCATGTAACATTTTATCAGAAATTATTGGGAAAAGGAAAAAATAAAGGGAGG